TTTCATCATCGCCTGCGGCTGGGGTTGGCATCGTCCCCCACTCCTCCTGATGTCGAGGGTAAATGGACGAGGTTTAGAACTGTGACTCATGCAGCTGCAATGTCTGCTTTGGGTACGTGGTCAGGACCTCCCCAGAGACCCTGGCTGACAGAGGTGTTCAGGATGGTTGAGAAAAAGCGACAGGCCCACTGTCATCGGCTACAGAATCCCACGTCAGAGAATGAGGAGGCTTACCGCAACCTTCGCTCGGAGGTTCAGAGAGCCGTGAGGCGCTGCAAGGATGGGTGGTGGTTGCGGGTTGCTGAGGAGATGGAGTCTGCCTCAGTGGCCCGCGATCACAAATCTCTATTTAACTCCATCAAAAAAGTAACCTGCAGCGCCACACCTATTACCATCATTAGAGGAAAATACGGTGATCAAATCTCCGACCCCCAGGAACAGGTTTGCAGATTTGCTGAGCATTTCTGTGAGGTCCTGGGGGAGGGAAAATCCCTCAGCCAGGAAAACATCGTGGCACAAAGTGAGGATGACCCTGCTGAGGCTACGGTGCCTCATATTGGAAGAAGTCACCCCCTGTGAGTGGCTGGATGAAGTGTCATCTGTTGAGGAAGTACTGAGGGCGATCCGGAGTCTGAGACCAGGAAAGGCAGCGGGCAGAGATGATCTCCCAAGCGAAAAGCTGAGGGTGGAGTTTGTGCACAGACTGCCCTATTTGACATCATAACAACAGTCTTGACCACTGGACGGGTTCCGCAGGATTGGAAGGATGCCCTGGTGGTCCCCCTCTTAAAGAAGGTGGACCGCACAGACTGTAACAATTAAAGGGGCATCTCAATCCTCAGCGTGCCGGGAAAGGTCCTGGCACGGATTATTCAACATCGCCTTGCCAGGCACGCTGAGGAGAGGCTTGCGGAGCCCCAATGCGGTTTCAGGAAAGGGCGGTCCTGCACAGATGCCATATTTTCTGTCCGTCTGCTACAGCAGAGGTGTAGGGAATTCCAGCAAGATCTACATCTCTGCTTTATTGACCTGGTCAAGGCCTATGATACCATCAATAGGCCTGGGCTCTGGGTTGTTCTTCGTGCTTTTAGAGTACCTGACCCTCTGCTCACGATCATTAAGTACCTTCATGATGGTGAGCGGGCACCGGTAAAATTACGTGGCTGGGAGTCCGAGCCTTTCCCTGTACACCTTGGGGTGCGACAGGGATGTCCTCTGGCTCCCACATTATTTAACATCTATTTCGACCACGTAGTTCGTGAAGCCTTCAATAGCTGTACCGGGGGAATCTCCATATGGTACAGATTTAATGGGAGGCTGATCGATGCGCGGGTGCGGTCAAGGGATGGCTCCCTATTGCTCAACCACGTTATGTATGCTGATGATTTGGTAATAGCTGCACATTCAGAGGAGGAGTTGGAGACGCTGCTGCTGAGACTGGAGCGTGCCACTAAGAGATGGGGCCTTACCATCAGCCCCACAAAAACTAAGCACCTGCCTGGGTATGTTGCACCATCGGACACTCCACCCCCACAACTCCCAATCGGTGATGGGGCAGTTGTGGAGAGAGAGGAGAGTTTCCCATACCTGGGAAGTGTGCTTATGACCAGCTCCAGTTTAACAGCAGAGGTCTCACTCCGAATCAGTCGAGCGACAATATCTTTTTATCAGTTGCGTAACGCTGTGTGGAAGCTACCTGGTCTGTCGCTCCGCACTAAGCTTCAGGTCTTCTCGGCCAAGGTCATTCCCTCCCTTCTCTACACTTGCGAAACGTGGACCCCCCTAATGGAACATCTTCGCCGGTTAGAAACATTTAGGCTGGCCTGCCTACGATCCATCCTGGGTTTAACCAGACTGGATTGTGTGAGGAGCTCACAAATCCTTGAAAGATCTGGGCAAGGTCCCATCGGTGAGCTCCTCCGGCGGGCAAGGCTGCGATGGCTGGGTCATGTAGACCGCATGCCCAGCCACCGCATGCCGAAACAGCTTTTGTTCGGGTGGGATCGAGGGGGCTAAGCGGGCGCGGCATGGGCTAGAGAAGAGATGGAGTGATGTGGTACAGGAGGACGTGGAGCTGAGTGGACTTGCCGATGACTGGTACCAGCGGTGTCAAGATTGGCCTCTGTGGAGGAGGCTCGTGAAGGACGCTACTGGGTAGTTGGAGGTAGTCGCCCTCCAACAACAATGGAGGGCGGAGGAGCGACGCTCACAACAACGAGCGGAGCGCCGGGTGGCTAAAGCACAGCAGGTTGGCACAGTAGGGGGCACAGTTGGTGCATCAGCCAGTCATCTCAGTCAGTCGACCCATGGCACCTGGGTCTGCCCCGTGACCTCCTGCCAGTGGGCGTTCGACACTCCACGTGGCCTCAAGGTGCACATGTCTTGGCAGAAGCGTCGTGGTGACGTCACCGCCACTTTGTGGCGAATGGCGGTTGTTGTTGTTGTGCGCGTGTAAGTCCATGTGTTTCTATTTGTGTGTGTGTCGATGTCTGTGTGTAAGTCCATGTGTGCGTCTGTCTTTTTCGCCTGGGCAACACCAGGTACTTACCGCTAGTTACTAAAAAAATAAATGCAAAGCACGCAAAATTCGCCCTAAATCGCTAATTAAACCAATTTAAAGTTGACGGATGTGAAAAAGGAATAGCGCTTGCTCACGACGAACACACACGCCCATGGACTGACACACACAGGCATAGCGACTCACACACACAAACACATGGACTTACACACACACATATGGACTCACACATGCATAGACATCCATTTTAGATACACACACATGGAGTTACACACACATATATATATCGACGTACACACATACAGCGACTCACACACACACATTGACTCACACACAGACATACGTGGCCTCACACACATTGATGTAAACACACATATGTACTTACACACACACATATCGACTAAGACACACACACATGGACTTACACACATACATAGACTGACACACATATTGCCCTACACATACACATAGACTGTGACATACAGAAATCTACAATAAATAGACACACATGGATTAACACACACATATGGACTCGCACACACGCATTGACTTGCACACACACATCGAGTGACACACACACATGTATGGACTGACACACACAAATCGACTGACACACATCGACACACAAACGCACATTGACTTGCACACTCAGATGGAGCCATGCACACACATTGACTAACACACAGACATGGACTAACACACACATAGCGACTGACACGCACACTTGGACTGACACACACACACATACAAACACTTCGATGTACACACACACAGATCAGGCGTTGTCCGTTCGAAAAAGACAGAGACACACATGGACTAAAACACACGCATGGATCTACACGCACACACATATGGACTCAAACACACACACACATCGACTCACACACACATCGACGTGCACAGCAATCCCCGATGATGGCACAGCTATCAATATCGCAGTCGTACATATGAGTAATTAGCGTGACGTGAGCAATCGAAACAATAGAAATGCTTTGAATAAATAATCAGAAATAAGTATGAATTAAAGAGCAACAGTACACACAGGTAAGTTGAGAAGCAGGCTACAATCTAGATTATAGACTGCCAGTACGCCGACTAAATGACATAAGCAATTGCTACAGTCGACATAAAAAGCTGGCAATACGGGCAGCAGCTGAAAAAGCAGAATACAGTCGACATTAAAGGATGGCAGTACACTAAGTGAGGTAAAGAACCAGGCAAAAGATTATAGACCGGCATACACTCATAATGGTGAAAAGGAAAGTTAGCAGTGTAGATAATTGAGTGCCAGTGCACGGACGTAAATTAATCAGCAGGCAGCAAGCCACATCACAGACTGGCAGTAGACCGTCGCAGCGTCATAAAAGCACAGCAAAAAAAGGGAATATTTAGCAACCTAATGATGAAAAATTAGTTTTGTGCACACAAACATTACTATTGTAATATCTACCAACCTATTTGATTCATAATAGTAAACAATAATACTACAATGCTATCTAAGCGCTGTAATAATATTAATATATACAGACTTCATAGCAGTAACTGCACGCATCGTGTTGGGGGGGGGGGGGGTTGGATGAAGAGGACATCACACTGTGAAAAAATATCCGCAGCGTTTTGTATATTTATTGCATGTGTTGCGGTGCAATCCACGACTCCGAAGCAGGTTGCGGTTAGGGGCTCAGGCCACGTTTATTAAGGGCTTATGCCAAAGTGTGTTAGGGGCTTACGCCAAAGTGTGTTAGGGGCTTACGCCACCAACCCACCCCCCTAGCCGATAACTCCCCAGGGGACAGGGGTACCAGGATCCCTACAACCCCGGCTAACTCGGCTCTCCTCCCTGCCCCGGGCCGGGACTACCCCAACCTCGGCCGGTCAGGCGGAGTAGCCTCCCCTAGCATCGGGTGAGGATCAGCTCCCCTGAGACCCTACTCCAACCCCCAATGACCCCCGTTACATCCCAGGTCCCCCCTTTAAATACCCTCCTGGGGCATGACGTCACCATCCCACTAGGGTCCGCCTGACGTCACATTCTGCGATGCCACTCTCCAAGGGCGAGCGTGACGTGACGTCACCCACTACTCCCCTACATCACCCCACCCCCGTGAAAAAAAAAACAGCTGACCTGGCTGCAATCATCATGAGAGCGGGGACACACGCGCGCCCACTAGAACCCCACAACATTAGGGCTGCACGGCACACGACAAAGTCAGGACAGGGCACCCCATGGACCATGAAAAGAGGCCACGAGGGTTGGGAACGGAGAAGCCGGCCCGACCCCGGCCGTCAGTGGATACGACGGCCCCCAAGCGTGTGTGAGCCGCCGGCCCATCCGCTGGTGTAGGCGCCCCTGGCGGCGCCGTCGGTGGGGGCACCGGCGACGCATCCGCGGGCAGGCCGCTACTCCGTGCGGCCTTGGCAAATCGGAACAGGCGGATTGCCCGCCGGACCCAGGTCCATAGCAGGCACCCCCCCCCCCCCCCCCTCCCGCACGGCCCGACACCGCCAGCTTCACCTGCGGGGGCTCTGCGGGCGCACACACGGGCAGGGCAACGCCCTCGTCCTCAGAACCCACCCGGCCCGGCTTGTCGCATGCATCAATCGGCGGCCGCTCCAGAAGTGGGGATGAACCCGGGAGGCCCGGCGGTACAACCCGCACACACTGTGGCCGAAGAACCCCCACCACCTTGACGGGACCCCGCCAAGGGCGATGCAACTTTGGGGACGTGCCAACAGGCACTTGGGGGCAGTGCAGCCATGCCAGCTGGCCCCTTTCCCACGGAAGGCCAGCAACCTGGTGTTTGGGCAGGTGCTCGGTAGCTGCCTGCCGGCTGGTCGAAATCTCCATCGCTGCTTGCCGCGCCTCGCGCAGCCGATCGAGCACGACCCTCATGGGCGCAGGGACAGGCGAGACCTTCCTGGAAAGCCCCAGGTCCAACTGGACATGCATCGGGGGCTCGGGTTCCCTCCCATACATGAGATAAAATGGGGAGAACCCCGTCGAGGCATGAGGAGCCAACCTGTACGCGGCCAGCACCCCCGGGATGAACAGGTCCCAGTCCGATTGGGACGCGCTCACATGATGGCACAGCATAGAAGTCAGCGTATGGTTCAGTCGCTCTACCATCTCGTCGGACTGGGGGTGGTAGGGCGAGGTGCGGACCTTCTTCGTCCCAAGGAGGTCACAGACCTTCTTCGTCCCAAGGAGGTCACAGACCTCCTTGGGACGAAGACGGTCACAGACCTCCTTGAGCAAACGAGAAGAAAAATTCCACCCCTGATCAGTCAAGAGCTGTTCTGGCGCCCCCTTATCAAGAATATACCCCTGAACGAATGCCTCAGTGATGGATGAGGCCGATTGGTCCACCAGAGGCCACGCCATAGGCCAATGCGTGAGGTACTCCACCCCCACCAAGAGGTACCTGTGGCCCCGTTGGGATGCAGGGAATGGCCCCAAAATGTCGAGTGCCACAAGCTCATTCACACGAGAAACCCGGACGGACTGCAGCGGGGCCCGATTTTGACCCACTGGGGCCTTCCTCTGCGCGCATTCGTGACAACCTTTCAAAATAAGGGCCACAGCATCCTCCACACCCGGCCAATAGTAGTCCCGTTTAAGGGTTAACAAGGTCTTATGGTAGCCGAGGTGCATAAGTTTCTCGTGAATGACCCTGGTCAACTTACCTCGCAAGCCAATGGGCACAACCATACAATAGCGTTCCAACTGGGCATCCCAACGCATGAGGAGGCCGTCATGTACGGCGATCACCGGGGCAGCCGACGGAGCGGAGCTCCGGGTCTTCGAGTCCACACGGCGTCACAGCCTCAGAAGAGAGGAATCCTCCATCTGCAACTTAGACCATACCTCCCGGGGGAGCCCCAGACCGAAATCCACAGGCAATGCCACACCCGGAGGGGGCGCTGCTTTGGCCGATGCGACCAACTGGGCCGTGGTGTCCACTGGGGCCTTACAGCAGCTGGAACCCAGGGCACAAGCGCACCCGCCGTCCGGGCACAGCCTGGAAAGGCCATCGGCATTCCCATGCCGAGTCCCCTTCCTATGGATGACATCGAAGGGGTACTCCTGGAGCACCTCGAGCCAGCGGGACATCTGGCCCAAGGGTTGGTCAATCCGCAAGGAATACTGGAGGGCCGCATGGTCGGTCCGGACGGTGAACCGGCGACCATACAAATACGGCAAGTAGAGCTGGACAAAAAAAAACAATAGCCAGCAGCTCCCTCCTGGTCATGCAATACCGCTGCTCAGTGGGAGACAGTACCCGCTGCCGTAGGCCACCACCCTTTCAACCCCATCGATCACCTGGGCGAGAACAGCCCCAATGCCCGTGTTCACTGGCATCGGTGTCGAGGAGGAACAGCCTAGAGAAATCTGGGTACCCCAAAGGCGGCGCACCCGCCAAGGCCCTCCAAAGCACCCCGAAAGCAGCCTCCTCCTCTTTCCCCCAGCGAAATTTCTGACCCCTTGGCAGAGAGAGCGTGCAGTGGTTTCGCAATAGTCGCAAAATCGCGGACGAACTGGCGATAATACGATGCGAAGCCAACAAAACTATGCACCTCAGCGATAGATGTGGGAGTCGGCCACGTCCAAACACAAGCAGTATTTTCCGGATCCGTGACCACACCTGACACACTCACAATGTGTCCCAAATACTTCACCGATGGCTGCAACAAATGACACTTCTGGGGTTTGAACTTCAAGCCCGCGGCGCGCACCTTGGCGAACAGCCTCCAGACGAAGCAAGTGCTCGTCAAATGTGCGACCAAAAACAATCACGTCTTCCAAGTAGATTAGACAAGATTCCCACTGCAGCTCCGCCAAGACCATCTCCATAAGACACTGAAAGGTGGCCGGGGCCGAATGAAGACCCATAGGAAGCCGATTAAATTGGAACAACCCCTGGGGTGTGCAGAACGCGGTCTTAGGTCTGGAGGCCTCGTCAAGCGGCAAATGCCAGAAGCCCGAGAGCAAGTCTAGGGTCGAAAAGAACCGCGCACCCAAGAAAGCGTTGAAGGAATCATCCATGCGAGGCAATGGATATGCATCAGCCACCGAGATCTTGTTCAATTTACGGAAGTCGACGCAGAAACGGAGACTCCCGTCCCGTTTCTTGACCAGCACAATGGGGGCACCCCATGGGCTGGTGGATGGAGAGATGATGTCCGCCGCCAATATCTCATCAACCGCGGAGCGGACATGATCCTTTTCCACCGGGCTAAAGCGGTGTGAATTTAGCCAAATAGGGGCCGAATCGCCCGGATCAATGTAATGTTCCAGGAGAGTGGTATGTCCTAAATCGAATTAACTCTGGCTAAACACATCGGTGAACCTGATGATGAGATTCCGGAGCCGCTGGCGCTCCGTGGAGGACAACGAGACATGCTCATTGCACAACGCATCGATCCATGATGCATCGGTCCTCCCTATGGGCAGCACGCCAGCCACAACCCCTCCCAGAGGCCTAGCGCCGTCGGCCGGAGGACCCGGGATGGCGTGCGCCAACACCGCACCCACCGGGACAATGACCGGCAAGGGCCCCAAATTCAGGGGCTGTAAAAAGGGATCCCGGCCCGCCGACACGGCCGTCAAGGCGCCCACCAACCCGTCGGACCTCAAGAAATAATTGGAGGGAGACAGGAGGATACCTGTACCCGGGGACTCCAATTTCAACGGACTGCTCAGCCTGAGGGGTAGCAAGACCTGAGACCCGGGCGGGATGGTGACGGACCTCGTGGTCAGGGCCCGCACACTCGTGGCCAAGGGTGGCAACCCAGAGGGGGGTTGCAGAAAATGCAACCGCCCAGCGTCGGCCCGTTGCGTGGCACCAGCCGATAAATGGTCTCCGAAACCATGGTGGCAGATGCACCTGTATCCACGAAGATTCGCACGTCCACACCCTGCACGCGTCCCGCAACGGCCGAGGACCCCGCAGTGGCAGCCACCACGTGATGCGCGAGGGCCCTCCACTGAAGGGTCCTTCTGGGCCACCCCCCGACGTGACCGACCGTGGGACCCACGAGCCCGACCCCCTCGAAATGACCCCCTGAGGATGGACCCTAACCCCGCGAGGTGCGGGAGGTGAAGTGAGCAGCCGCGTGATTGATGCGTCGCAACTCACCTGTGGGCGCGAAGGCCCCGTCGTCAGAGAACCGGTGGCAGAAGGGGAGGCCCGTACGAAGGCCCCGGGGGCGTTATTACAGCCCCGCTCGAAGTGGCCCTGCTGGCCACATCGGAAGCAGGTGACCTGCCCCGTGCCTTGCGGACGAGGAGGTCCCGCCCGCCACCGCCTCTCCGGCCGGCGATCAGCGGTGCCCCCCCCGCGGCGGTCGAAGGCGGCCACAGCCGCGAGGGTGCCCTCACCCTGAGCCGCGACTCCAGCATCCAGCGCCGCCAGTAGCGGGACGCCCGCGCAGGCCACCACCACGGCTGGGCGTCGCAGGGCGAGGTGAGCCTGCATGTTTTGCGCCACGGTCAGCGAAGTTATCTGGGCCTCTTCTGGGATGGACAACATGATGCCCAGCTCAGCCGCGAGGGCCAACAACCTGTCGAGGGCTAGGGAGTCCAAGCCCATCCCCTCCAGATCGGGGTAGGCGGCCCGGGCCAGTGCTAGGAGCGCACACCGGAAGGCCAAGGGCGACTTCCCCTCCTTACGCCGGCGCGTGGAAAATTTGAGGCGTGCCCTCGAAGGCGGCTCAAATACCACAGCCATCTGCCCTGTCAGCTGGCGGGATGCTCCGGTACGCCTGCAACGCACGTGCATCTCGGCAGGTTGGAAGAGCCCGCAGCGCCTCCTCCATGGGCCACCCCACCGACTCGTAGGTGACCTCAAACCGGGCCTGGAAGTCAGTCGCCCCCCTTCGCGGTGAACGGCGCGACAGGGGGCAACCGGCGCAGCTGCGGTCCCCACAGCAACCCACCCGGCCGATACTCACCTCCAGCCCCGCCCGACGCCGTCCCCACGGCAGCCGCAGCGACGTCGGACCGCCGGGTGGCCTTCGGCCCCGCGTCCAGCCAGGAATACGCGCCGAGCTGCGGAGCCGCGGTCGTGTACGCGGCGCGAACCGGAGTCGCGGTGCGCCGCACAGCCGCGCTCACACCGGCAGTGCCAGCTGGCGCCGCGGCGCCCATGGGCGCGGCCATGACAGTGGACATGGCGGCCGACTCCGGTGTCGCACGCAACATGGCGCCCAACTCCAGTGACGCGCCGGCCGATGAGCCGACGCTAATTGCGGATTGGCCGGGAGACGAACCGGCGGGAACCCAGCGCAGCCTGTCGAACCCCGTGGCCGGTGCGAGGACGCGACGCCCCACCTCGGCCATGGTGATGACGAGCTGGCCCAGCGTGTGCTGGAGCAGCTCCAGCTGCCCCACGATGGCCCGCCACGTGTCCGGCGGCGGCGCGGCAGCTCCTGCAGCCACCGTCCCCTCCCGCTCCAGCCAAGCCGGCTCCACGGGGCGATGTTCCCGGGCCCAGGCCCCCGGGTTCGTCGCGAGGCCCTCCCCGACGTCCTCCTCGTCGCAGAACTGCACCGCCGACATGAGCCTTTGTCTCTTGCCGGGTCGTGACATGGCGGCGAGGGACGAAGCCACTCCTGACACCAGTTGTTGCGGCGCAATCCACGACTCCGAAGCAGGTTGCGGTTAGGGGCTCACGCCACATTTATTAAGGGCTTACGCCAAAGTGTGTTAGGGGCTTACGCCAACCCACCCCCCTAGCCGATAACTCCCCAGGGGACAGGGGTACCAGGATCCCTACAACCCCGGCTCACTCGGCTCTCCTCCCTGCCCCAGGCCGGGACTATCCCAACCTCGGCCGGTCGGGCGTTGTAGCCTCCCCTAGCCTCGGGTGAGGATCAGCTCCCCTGAGTCCCTACTCCTACCGCCGACTACCTCCGTTACATCCCGGGTCCCCCTTTAAATACCCCCCTGGGGCATGACGTCACCGTCCCCCCAGGGTCCGCCTGACATCACGTTCTGCGACGCCACTCTCCGAGGGCGAGCGTGACGTGACGTCACCCACTACTCCCCTACATCTGTTAAACGCATAAAAGAAAATGTCCCCCATGAGCTCGACCAAACGCGCATCACTTGGCAGGGTGTCCCCCCACCCCCCACCCCCCACCCCCCACCCCCCACCCCCCCACGCAATTGGCGTGAGTTGGTACAATAAATATAGCTAAATTCCACCAAATCGCTAATTTAATTAATTTAAAGGGGACGGACGTGAAAAAGGAATAGCCTATTCCCACCGTGGGGCTTAGGGCGTGCTGGCTGGCACATTTTTTTCGATATAAACCCCACCGTTCGAGAGCCCAATCCCTCGAAAGCGCGCGCGGAGACTTATATATGTAAGAAAAAAAGAAGAAGAAAGATAGATAGATAGATGGAGGAAAGATGGGCTGAGATGATGCCCAAATGGGAATTCAATTCGCGAGTTATGATGTAATGTTGAATCATGTCATCATCATCATGATCGTCATCAATTGTAATCTATCCACTGCTGGATGACGACATTCCGAAATCTTCAAGGCAATCCCTAACGGCCTGGCGATGGCAAACAAAGTTTATTTTGCGTGTGACCCGGTGATGAGCTCAAGAGAGCAGGGAGAGGGACGCTCATTTTCAAAGGCGACCCTGGACCGCCCAACATGGCAAAAAAAAAAGCAAAACCAATAAAATGACGAACGGCGATGGAGCAAGCAGAAAGAAAATGTCAAACATCGCACGAACAAAAAAAAATCCAGCTCATTAAAAGCAGAAAATCTGCTGTAGCACATATAAACGTAAGGCCTCATCACAAGCACCGAAATAGCCTTTGACCCCGTTGCCACCGCTGGTGATGTCTGCTTTGGAAAAAATATAGAAATGTTTCGCAGCCGAGAGCAGCGGCAAAACAACGGCGAATGAGGGGGTGGCTGGCCAGCACCACGCCCGGTCACGTTTGTCTCCCCACAGTGGCGATGTTGACACATCACACTGGTTACCCATTTGAGGCCGAGCCGACCTAGAGGATGCCCAGGACCGTTTCAGATAATCGGGAGTCTGAGTCGAAGTCGGGTCGCCGGGTTAGTATCGCAGTGCGCTTACCACTGCACGACCACTCCCCACACACGGACACGCACATACACACGCATGCACGCACGCCAATTACCGCGGAGCGAGATGGGCGGCTTCTGCAAAAGACCGGCAACGGGAGGATTGTTCTTTAGTGCTCGTATTTAGCGATGCCCTGGCATCAGAGGCTCCCAGCATCCCTGCTGTTTACAGCGTGGGAGGAACGATGCTCGGCCGTAATTTCCCCTAGCGATTGTTCCGTCGATTTTGTGCCCCCCGAGCGATCGTTCCGTTGATTTTGTGCCACATGCGCGCACTTAGCGACGCTTTGTGGCCCACGTTTAACCGCCGCCGTGAAGTGAAAACGATCCGAGGTGCCGTTCGCCAAATCGAGTCTTGTGCGGCCGCTGCGGCAGTAGCGCTAGACTCGCAAAACCCGGTTCGTGTCCCCGAAGTTAGAGGTTGACTCGCGGGGAACTACACAAGGAACGTGTGTGCCTACGCGATTCATCAATCGTGGTGAACGTGCAATGAACGGTGCTCGCACCTTCCGCTGGCGGCTCAGCACGGCCAAGGGGGGATAAGGCACCTCCCAAGTTTGTGTGATGAGATATTTAATTGCTGTATTTCCAGGGCTTACGGCGCACTGCCAACTTTACATTTACTTTGCCGCCGAGCGCAATTTTAACAAGGCTTTTATGCGTCGTGCGCTTTAATCATTGGCAACTCGTGTTTAATGCGATCCGCTGGCACGAAGAAGACCACGTGTAACGGATGGGGGGGCGGGGGGAGGGGTCAACGGGGGCTGGGGGAAGAGTGGGGGAGTTCCGTGAAAATGAGTGAAGGTGACATCGGCGGCCCGGGACCGCTTCATGTGAGGGCCCCTCTGTCCTAATCCCTCACCGCGTGAGCGTCGGGGGAGCGCACCAAATACCCAGCATCCCCTCTTCCTCCACCGTCGGGACTGCCAACTGAAGTCCGTTCAGCCGTGATAATCCGGTGCTTTAAGAAAATAGATATATTTTCGATAGCTCCTAACACCCTGCACAACCAGCTTGTCTCCCTGCACCACAGCTCCTGTCACTCTGCACTACAGCTCCTGTCGCCCTGCACCACAGCTCCTGTCCCCCTGCACCACAGCTCCTGTCCCCCTGCACCACAGCTCCTGTCCCCCTGCACCACAGCTCCTGTCACCCTGCACCACAGCTCCCGTCACCTGCACCACAGCTCCCGTCGCCCTGCACCACAGCTCCTGTCACCCTGCACTACAGCTGCTGTCACTTTGCACTACAGCTCCTGTCACCCTGAACCACAGCTCCTGTCACCCTGCACCACAGCTCCTGTCGCCCTGCACCACAGCTCCTGTCACCTGCACCACAGCTCCTGTCACCCTGCACCACAGCTCCTGTCACCCTGCACCACATCCCCTGTCACCCTGCACTACAGCTGCTGTCACCCTGCACCACAGCTCCTGTCACCCTGCACCACAGCTCCTGTCACCCTGCACCACAGCTCCTGTCACCCTGCACCACAGCTCCTGTCACCCTGCACCACAGCTCCTGTCACCCTGCACCACAGCTCCTGTCACCCTGCACCACAGCTCCTGTCACCCTGCACTACAGCTCCTGTCACCCTGCACCACAGCTCCTGTCACCCTGCACCACAGCTCCTGTCACCCTGCACCACAGCTCCTGTCACCCTGCACCACAGCTCCTGTCACCCTGCACTACAGCTCCTGTTACTCTGCACTACAGCTCCTGTTACGCTGCACTACAGCTCCTGTTACTCTGCACTACAGCTCCTGTCCCCCTGCACTACAGCTCCTGTCACCCTGCACTACAGCTCCTGTCACCCTGCACCACAGTTCCTGTCGCCCTGCACCACAGCTCACAGCCAATCTCTCTGCAGGAATGACTCACAACCTCCTCCGCTCTCCAACGACGGCTAGGACTCTCACTGCCAGACGTCGATTCCTCACGTGACAGCCCCACCCCAGCGTCTGCAATTCCATCCCGCTAATCGTTCGCAGCAGCATTCAATCAACGCCTCCATTGACGTTTAAAGGCCCCCCCCCCACCTCTTTCTCAAAGGCCCCCACCACCTTCCGCCCGGTTGTTGAACGACACCGAGCTCGGTTCCGCACATCAGGATCCACGGTCACGTGACCCCCGTGAAACATTGCGCACACGGCGTAAAGGACATCACTGCCATCGCGACGATTGCGCCCGCCGTCGTGACACAGCGAGCACCGACCACCCACTCCGCCGCTCGGGACGGCGCCCCCGAGCACAGGGCCGGGGGCGCCGTCACCCAGCGCCGGCCTACGAGGAGGAGACGCGCCGGCCCAACCGGCCACCCTCCAACGCCCGACAGCTCTCGCCGGAAATCTCCTCGACTTGCGATCTGCGAGCACGAACGCGGATTTAATTTCTCGGGCGGCGGTTGCGGGCCGGGGGGGGGGGTGTAAGGGAGGCGGGCGATGAGAGGTGAGGAGTGGGGGGGGGGGATTTTGGTTGGGGCGCGGCGAATCGACACACAGGGAACGGGCGTGACTGCAGCGAGCGCCGGACACCACCGGAATACAAACGATGGCGGCGGCGGCAGCAGGGCATGGTTCCACGGCCGCAGACTTTCCCCAACCCCCCCCTGCCAGCGGGGGCGGCCGTCGGGGGCCGTAGACTACCGTGCGACTGTGCCAGGGACGCGGGGAGGAGGACGAGACGGAGGTTGGGGCTCGAATTTGGCCCCCTGGCAGCGTTCTTGGTGTGTACACAAATAACGCAGCCTAATTATTCTCTCCCGACGTCAGCATCGATCCTCTTGGTGCGGCTAACAAATGTACGTAATTTAGAGGCAGCGTAGTTACTTTCATTTTGCCCTTTGCCTTCATTCTCCTGCACAAGTATTACCATTGATTAATTGTTGTCATTTTTCTTTAATTCAGAAATCACCTGTGAAGCAGATGCCATATTCAGTGAGCTTTGGCCTGATCAAATACAATGCTGACAAAAAAAAGACGATGATGGTTGGCTCCGTACGGCGCCCAAGAAGTTTGACTTGCATACATGATGATGGCGATGATGCCAATGTTGGTGATGACGATGCTGGTTATGATGGTGATGACGAGAGTGTGATGACGACACTGGTTATGATGGTGATGACGAGAGTGTGATGACGATGCTGATTATGATGGTGACGACGAGAGTGTGATGACGATACTGGTTATGATGGTGATGACGAGAGTGTGATGATGCTGGTTATGATGGTGATGACGAGAGTGTGATGACGATGCTGGTTATGATGGTGATGACGATGCTGGTTATGATGGTGACGACGAGAGTGTGATGACGATGCAGGTTATGATGGTGATGACGAGAGTGTGATGACGATGCTGGTTATGATGGTGACGACGAGAGTGTGATGACGATGCTGGTTATGATGGTGATGACGATGCTGGTTATGATGGCGACGACGAGAGTGTGATGACGATGCCATTTGTGGCAATGTCGGCGACGATGGCCATAATGCCAACCGTCAAAACGAAACGGCGGCCATCGTTACAACAGTAGCGGCATGGCCGAGAGTGATCACGAGGACACGGTCCCCTTAAAAAGAGAGAGACACGTACGTGCACGCGTCATTACGTAAAGGGGGGGGGGGGGCACGTGGGTTGACGGCAAAAAAAAGCAGTCACTGTTAAGGCCATCGCTCTGTGACCTGTGACTCCTACCTACATGGCAGTCACGTGGCCGTGACCAAATCAGCAACAAGCCTCCCTCCCCCCCATACCCACCGGCCACTTCACGAACTGCCACCGTTTTGAGGTTTGCGAGTCGCTTCGGGAGTTTCCCCCCACCCCCCACCCCCTTCGGCGGCTCTCCAGTCGAGCCTCGATCGCAAACACGGCCGCTACTACGTTTGCAGAAATTGTCATCGGTCGTATCGTCACGCACGCAACGGTGGCGTAGCTCATCGAGCGCGCAGGCGGTGCAACCGCGCCGGCGACCGAACGTATCAGATAGATCCTCCCATCGTCCAAATCGTCTCGTGGGTGGACCCGCTGAGGGGCGGGCGAGCGGTTGGAGGGGAGCGGGGTGGGGGCGCGCAACCTCGAGCGACCCCGGCGGCGCTGCCGGCGCGGCGCGGCGCGTCCTCACCACGTGTCGACGCAGACGCGGCACCTCCAACCGCGCTCGCTCTCGCTGCGCAGGGCGCAGCGGCTGCACACGTTGTAGCAGCAGTCGAGGCAGCGGTGGGCGGCGTTGAGCAGCGAGTAGAAGGCGACGCAGCAGCGGATGCAGTGGCGCTCGTTGAAGTTGTTTTGGCGCGACAGGATCACTCGCTTGCTCTCCTCCTCCACGAGGCGCTGCTTCAGGTCGCTGACGAATATGATGATGATGATGATGACGACACAGAAAGAATAGTAATACTAATCACACACACACACACGGGTAAGCCTGCCTGTCTGTGTGTGCGTGCGTGTGTGTGTGTGGGAGTGCAACGGTTTAGTGCTACGCTGCGCGACGAACCCAACGACCCGGGATCGATTCACGCTCATGGCCAACACCGGTGATAATTATCTGATCCGGTTCTGGGCCCTCCCATAGGTCGTCTCGACGCCAAAAGAGTACCCGGTGCGGTGCGTAAACATCGCCACTGGGGAAACAAAGGGGGCCGGGCGTGGTGCTGGCCACCCACCCTCTTCGTGTGCCGTGCCGGCCCTACATAGGTGGCTACTCGCTAACAGCACTTGCCCCTACAGCCTGTTAAGGTTACACGGGGGACCTTTGTCTTTATACGTGTTTGTTAAGTGTCGTAAATCCAGCCTCCGAGTCCCTGTGGTGGGAGCTTGATTCACAGTCGGAAGGTCGCGGGGTTCAAGTCCCGATCGTACGTCAGCCCACTCCGTCAAGCAGGAATTTAAACTTTTCTAGATTTAAAGCTTTCGTGACTGCAAGGATCCGTACTCTTTGGTTCTATTCGGTAAAGTCACGTAGGTAAAAAATTAAAACAACAAAAATCACGACGTTTCGGCCACAACACAAGCGGCCTTCATCAGGTGAAGGGATCAGGCTGTCTCGAGGACAGCGCTGGAGTGAAACACAGCCACGCTCAGACCGCGACCTTTAAGCTGTGTGCGAAGAAACAAGGTGCCTTGACAAAGGAATTAGCATAAAAATTAGCATTTGATTGGCCGACTTAGCATAGAGGTGGTGTACATGCGGGTGCACATGCCGATTGGCGCGGGGGGGGGGAGGGGGAGTTTACCTATTGATGGTGTGAAAAGGGAATTTAAGAGCTGCGAAAGTTTGGGGTACCACTACTTGAAAAATATACTGTACCATTGAAAATTAGTTTAATGTTTGGTTCGATTTATAACATCTTTCCAATGGTTGCTTAATTTGAAATCATCTTCTCGGTGGAAATTGTCTGTGTTTGTAGATCTGAATTGCCTCGTGAACAAATCTCTGATAAAAAAACCCGTGGGTTTCCAAAGAACTTTGGTATCGGAGAAAATTATATCGTGATCACCCACAGCGTTGTAACAATGATCAGCTACGGCAGAATAATTCGTTTTGCTGTGTTTCAAATCTGATTTGTGCTCGCGAATTCGGTCAGAGACATGTCGCTTTGTCTCCCCAATATAGCAATCACCGCAGGTACAACTCAATTTGTAAACCCCGGGGTACTGTAAGTCAGGAATGACATCCTTCACGGATGGGATCAGATCTTTCCCTCTCCCTCCATACAGAAACAACCACTTGATACTCCGGTCAAAACCATCACACTACCATATATAGCAGGCGTTACTAAAAAGATTTCCAAAATTCTAAACAAACACAAGATCCAGGTCCGGTTCAATACAGTACACAAAATTCGTGATCTGATCCCATCCGCGAAGGATGTCATTCCTGACTTACAGTACCCCGGGGTTTACAAATTGAGTTGTACCTGCGGTGATTGCTAATTCGGGGAGACAAAGCGACATATCTCTGACCGATTTCGCGAGCACAAATCAGATTTGAAACACGGCCAAACGAATTCTTCTGCCGTAGCTGATCATTGTTACAACGCTGTGGGTGATAACGATATAATTTTCTCCGATACCAAGGATCTTTGCAAACCCACGGGTTTTTATCAGAGATTTGTGCACGAGGCAATTCAGATCTACAAACACAGACACAATTTCAACTGAGAAGATGGTTTCAAATTAAGCAACCATTGGAAAGATGTTCTAAATCGAACCAAACATTAAACTAATTTTCAATGGTACAGTATATTTTTCAAGTAGTGGTACCCCAAACTTTCACAGCTCTTAAATTCCCTTTTCACACCATCAATAGGTAAACTCCCCCTCCCCCCGTGCCAACCGGCATGTGCACCCGCATGCACACCACCTCTATGCTAAGTCGACCAATCAAATGCTATTTTTTATGCTAATTCCTTTGTCAAGGCACCTTGTTTCCTCGCACACAGCTTAAAGTTTGCGGTTTGAGCGTGGCTGTGTTTCACTCCAGCGCTGTCCTCGAGACAGCCTGATCCCTTCACCTGATGAAGGCCGCTTGTGTTGTGGCCGAAACGTCGTGATTTTTATTGTTTTATTTTTTACCTACGTGACTTTACCGAATAGAACCAAAGAGTATAGAAATTTAAACCTTCGTCTTTTTGATGGTTAGTCAGGCGCTCTGCCACCGTCTTACCTTTTTTAATCATCATCACATTTGTTTACACAGCAAAGCCTCACCGAGTCTCAAGACTCTTTGTTAGGAGAGGTCCTGCCAAGTTTTCGCAGCAGCAAGTGGAGATGCTCTTGCTGCTGTGTCATCCCAATCAAGTAATGTGCAGCAGGTTATTTTCGTCTCATATCGATGTTTTTCAGCCAATATTTCTATTACAATGAATGGGTTGTTTTTAGCTAAGGTGATTATGCCAAGCAACCCGGAGGAATCCCAAGCAGAACAGGGGTAGAACATACAACATCCACACAGAGAGGCACCCAAGTCAGAAATCAAACCCTGGGCTTTCTTGTCGATGCGCTAGCGTCACCACAGTGACACCCCCGCCGCCCATACACCATCAACGTCAGCCATGATCTATTCACTACCGGATGAAGGCCACCCATTACAGGTGGCGAAAAAAAACCTGTTACTACACATAGTGCATATTTGTTTGGAATGTTAATAAAATATGCGCACTTAAATTGAAAGAGACAGAGCCCATAACATTGAAACGGTACACAGCAGGCCCCGCCGTGAATAATGCGTCGGTGCCTTAATTAAGGCCTCCCGAATCTTAATGAACGTCTGCCTTTTAAAAGCGGCATGTCACGCCTGGCTTAGGTTATGACCGGCTCGGTGAATAAGGGGTAATTACTCCGATTGTTTCTGAGCATTGAGGAGGCTGAATTTATTACTCGTGGAAAATCACCTTGACCCCCCCCCCCCCCCCACATCATCACTCTGACAAGGCTGCACCCGCAGGGCTCCGGGATGTAAAGCAGCATCACCGGGTAACCCAGATTAAGTGGCCAACTATTAAATCATGGGAAGTCACCTCGCTCTTCTCACGTGTCGATCCATGGTCAATCCACTGCTAGATGACGGTCTCCCCATGCCATTGTTGGTTGTGGGGCGGCTTTTTGACCGTGCTGATCAGCGTGGGTTAGTGAAGTGGGGGGTAGGGGAGTCCCAGAAATCGATTAAACGATCACTCATCACTGATGTTGGCCGTGAGAATCTAACTCGGCGTTCGCTGGACTCAAAATCTCACTAGGTCAACCACTGTGCCACCACTCTCCCCAATCTACATATTACTATAAGTGTGAATATATAATACATTAAGTTATCATACAAGTAAGAGTTAGAAGAGAAATGTGATTATATTGACTGCCAGGCACAGTCTGAAGTTCACTTTCTATTGATAATGTGCTGTAGTTAGACGTTATACATCTTGAAGTGACTCATTGCCACCGCATTAATGTAAATAGAGGGGCTGGAGTATAATGTGGAAATCAACACCGAGTCTCAATTGAACGTATAAAAAGATCAATATTTTTTTTTTTAAATTGTCCAACTTCTTACTTATTGCGTATTTGTCATTATCCGTGGAAAGAAAACCAGATTACCCAGAGGAAACAAATGCATACGACCACGAGAGAATCATGTAAAACCAAAAAAATCTGGACGACTGGGTCATAAACCTTATATTGCTGTGCTGCCATCCACTGAACCCTCCTCATAGCTCATTCAGTGGGGAGTCTCACAGCTCACCGTGATTGTCGCGTGACTCATCAACCCTGTGTCCCAAAAATGGCAGAATTGCACCGGTGGGTTTGTGAAAAAGTGACACATTTTTTTAAATGCCACCTGCAGCGTGCGACTATAACTGCGCCTCCCTCCCGCCGGAATATCATCCGTTTAACGTGGTGGGAATGACGTGCAAATTGCTTTGACTCGGGTAAAACAACACCAACAACAAAACGCCGCCATGCGCTTCATGTCGGAAGGAATGAGGGAATAGGCAATCGCTCAAGGCAATTTGTGAGCCTGTGAGGCACGAATTTTTCGACACACCGTCAAGTTTTTAAGGCTTCGGCAAAAAAGAACGGCGACTGACAAAATCAACCTTCCAGCAATGAAGCGCGAAACCGCTACCTCGCCACGGCCGCCCCATTCGCGCCGTAAGACGCAATCGATCCCAGGCGGGCAGGCCGAGAGGTGACAGACGGTCGAGATGAAGTATTCGTCGCTAGGAATACCTCACCTGGGAGTACCGAGTGTGGGGGGGGGAGGAAAGCAGCAAACGTGAAATCGCCGCAGAGACGCCTGCGGTCGTCGATTTTACGGCGAATGCCGAGGAGTGATGACAAATGAGAATATTTATTAATACCGCAGGAAGAATCCGATGAGCCCCAAAGCTCTGCTTCACACTTGTCCGGCAGGGGCGGGTCAGAACGTTGCAACAAGATACAATAAAAAAATGCTGCCCTCTCTCAACACAGTTGGAGTTGGTGGATGACACTTTGACATTGCATGCGTGTTAAAACACTCAACCTGCAGGGCTATAAGATGGCCAGCGTGAGGCAATACAGCCAGAAGGATTTTGACGTGCAGGCGTGTGTATATCTATATATATAAAAGTAAAAAAAAAATGTGTGTGGGTTTGTGGCGGGGTTTGTTTGTGGCGGGATTTGTGTGTGCGTTTGTGGCGGGGTTTTTTGTGCAGTCGCATGCTTGGCTCTCCAACGGTGGGGTTTACGTAAAAAAAAATAGCCAGGTACCACGCCGTAAGCCCCGCGGTGAGCGAGCGCAATCCCTTTTTCACGTCCGTCAACTTTTAATTAGTTTAATTACCGATTTTGTGCGATTTTTGTGCGCCA